AATGTAACAGAGTAATCATAGTGAATAATATGGCACTTATGTAAATTGTTTTAGGAACTCTGCTTAATAAAGTTGGTAATAAATATTTACATGTTTAAAAATTGATTTTTCAAAAATTATGTTTATTTAAATACACGTTTATTAAGTAGAGTATTAAAATGCAAATAATAGTCTTTCCATGCACAAAAGCCCTTTGGGTATTACTGCGTCTTCCAGTAAATGGCAGAGAAAAGTGACGCATCATGACAAATCCAACACTTCACAGTGTACCACAGTGCTGCATGTACAGATGCTGCTCGCTCTGAATTAAAGACATGGCTTCTTTTTTCTCTTATTGTCATTATTATGTGTCTACCCTGAACTGTGAGGCCATCAGAAGGGGATGGTAGGCCAGGTCTGAGCTGGTGCTCCAGGCTTTTTTCTACATCTTCAAATTCCACAGATGCCAAAATAGCCTTCCTATCTTTAGACCCCTAGCTTCACTCAAACTGTCGTAGTTGATCATATTTTCTACAGGAGTACTTTTCTGAAGACTGCCAACAAGTCATATGTGTACAGCAAGACCAAGGCATTTGTTTACCTGCTGGAATAGTACCATCATGTGGCAAGAACTTAAACTTTCAGTACCTTTCTCATCAACTTTGAAAGAAAATGCTTCTCTATAAAATTTTGATTTAGGGGATTGCATTATTTCAAAATTTGGCATAATGTTAAGACATAATTTTTTTGTATTCTATTAGTTCAAATATGTAAATTTAAAGTCATGTGAAATCTGTTGGTACTGTACAGACATGAGAAAAATGCCTTTCCTTTCTTTTGTATTACACAAGTACCTCTGTGGGTCTCCCAAGTTAGTTCTTCTGGGTCCTGACTCTAGTGTCTGGTAAGGGCCAGGACCCCTCGTCTGTGCTATGGAGACAGATTGGCTTCCCACTGCATTCCAGTCTTTCTATCAGATGGGAGAAAAAGACCCCTTCCTTAGTTTCCTATCAAAATAAATTTTAAAAAATCTTTTACATTGACTTTTAGAACTTGAAAATTTATTAACAGGCCAAGATAATTTGAATCCATTAAATTTATGTTGGGACTATCCCTCTTTGGCCTCTCATATTCATTAAATGTTGAAAAATACAGAAAAGGAGAATTTTTTAAAAAATATAGTAAATTCCTCATAAAACTGACTTTGTGGTGCAGATGTGTAGTTCTTGTTTGGACTTACTTTGTAAAAACTTTTGGGGGGTCAATTCTAGAGATTTGGATAAGGAATCAGTTCTAGATGATATTCAGCAACTATTGTTAATTGTCTAATGTGTGATAATGGAATTATGGTTGTGAAGAAAATGTGAGTACTTTTATAGAGATGGATGAAAGATTTGGGGGATGAAATATGATACCCATCTTAATGTACAGTATTTCAGAATAGGAAAAGCAAGTATGGTAGAGTGTTCATAGTGTTAGATGTAGATTGTTGGGTATGAGGTGTTCATAATTTTTTTAGTATATTTTTTGAAGGCTGAGTTTCAACCATGCTATTCATAGTATCTTCTATGAAAGAAATCAGTTTTATCTTTTGCCTCTCTTCTAATATATAAAAACTATTTCCTCGAAACTAGCATGTTATCCTGTATCCTGTTGGAAGTCAGTTTAAAACAGAAAGCTTTAGCCTCTTTCTGTCCCCAGTGTGTAGATAAGACACATTGTGAGGTGTAGTAGCATCAGTTCCTGGAGATGGTGGAAAAGGAGGACTAGGGAAGGTGGGGGCTGCGCAGGGTGGGATAAAAAGTGCTTCCCACCAGGGAGTTAGCTCAGTGGTGCTGCCACCTACCTCACAAGCGCAAGGTCCTGACTTTTATCCCCAGTACCAAAAAAAAAAGTGCTTCACAAGGTGATTCTAACTGGCCTCTGTAGAAGAGCCACAGGCTGTCAAGGGAGAAAGGGGAGTGTCACATTCTGACTAAATGCTGGGAAGATTCTTTCACAACTAATTAATTTAACCTTTTAACTTTAGAAAATATTGCCCATGGGTGAATTATTTACTTTCAAGCTCAAAAACTAACTATATATTACCTGACTTTCAGAAATTGTATTGCAATGCACCTGCTGTTCCTCCTCCACTTGTTAGCAACTGTCTGGGGATGCAGTGTGTGGGCAAGTGGTATAAGAAGACCTAGAAGCAGGAGTCTCTCTCTGAGACCCTCTGCTGCCACTGCTAAGTCGCTATTTTATCCCACAACTTTGCCACACAGTTGTCCCCAGAATCCTTTACCCTCCATTTGCAGTAGTCAGATGGCAGAGAATTGGCCCACGATTGGGCATCTTCTAGTTCTGTAAACCGATCAATGCATACATACAGATGGTACTCAACTCAGATGGTCTGACTTAAAGTTTTAACTTTAGGATGATGTGAAAATGACAGGTGTTTAATAGTGTTGATTTCCATCTTTTCCCACATTAGCAACATGCAGTATGATACTCTCCAGTCATTGGGCAGTGGCAGCAAGCAGTAACTCCCAGTCAGGTCACCAGGGGCACGGCCAGTAATCTATAGTGCACCGTGTAGTTAAACCAACATGTTCAGCAGGTTAGGTGTGTTAAGTGAAATTGACTTAACAATATTTTCAATTTATGATGAGTTTATTGGAGTGGAACCCCTATCCGAAGTTGAAGAGCATTTGTTTTCTGTTGAGCTCTGACTCTGCAAAATATCTCCCTCAGGGAGGATAGAAACTCCCACTGCTGCTGTGGGTGGTGAGGGTGTGCATGGGGCAAATGAAGCCATGGTGGTCCCAGACAGAGATGCCATGGAGCAGCAGTGGAGTGACATGTGCCCACTCCAAGTGGCCCTTGCATGCCAGTCCATTGGAGATGCTTTCAAAAGCTGGTCTTCTCGTGAGTAAGACAAGAGGATGCCAGTAATGAAGAAACACTGTGATTTTAATTCTATTAGGTTTTTTTTAAAACTGGAAGAACAATAAGTGTGATGTTAAAATAAGAATTTAGGAAAACGAATTAGGAATGTTAGAATGACAAAAATTCTTACAGTAAATCATTGACAATGAAATAACGGATTTCATTTACTTCTTTCAGCATCAGACTTGAAATGACTTTTATGCTGATTCAACTGATCATCAGAAAAGAAAATTCATTCAAATGTCACTTGCTGAATTATGATTTTTCTTTTCAAAATGATTATTGCTATAATGTTTTAAACTACATTTTGTGTGTGTGTATATGTGGTGGGGATTAGCAGGGACACTAGGGATTGAACTCAGGACCTTGCACTTGCAAGGCAGGTGGTGGCACCACTGAGCTAAATCCCAGGCCCTTGAAGTACATTTTGAACATATAATATACTCATTTTCATGTCCTATACCAAGTTATTGTAGCTATTTATAAAATTTGGAAGTAATATCTTCTAAAGAGAATTAGAAAATTTAGGCGCCTATAGCAGAGCTAAAATATTATACTTTACTGCTGCCTCCTCATCCCTTTCCACCTTCACCCTCTCAGCTATAATCCCCCAATACTTCTTTATCCATCTAGATTCCTTTCCCTTTAAACATCTGCATATAATGAAAGCTTTCAGTCTTGTGATTTTCCTCACTATAAATAATCTTTATCAAAGGTGAGACTTGTTAAATGACTTTGAATATGAGATAGAATATCAAGGGGCCTGCAGGCCTTTCTTGTATGCCTAATATAAATCCATGATTAACATGTGTATAGTGTATCTATTAATTTAACAAAGCATTTTACCTCAGTGTGCAAAGAAGGAAAACACTGGCCTTAGAAAAACAGAGTTCAGAATTCCTGGCAATTAGTGTAGATTTGAACCAAACTTGTCTCTCCACCAAGTATATCTACACGGAGAACAAGATGACAATAAAATGTGTGAAAAACACTATTAACATTTAACAGTAGTCATATGCAGATAATGAATGTGCTATCTTCACTCATTATCTTACAGAAGGTGCAAATGATTTTAGCAATCTTCAGCTATTTTTCCATGTTATAGTGAATAGTTCTATGTGATAAATTTGCATCTCTTTAAGTGTATTCCATAGTTTAGACTTAGAACTTACATGGTTTTCTTATTCCTGCCGAGGCATTCCTGCATTTTTTCTAAAAAAGCATCTCATACCTTTGATAAATAAAAGCACAGTCTTAACATCACGGAGAACAAGATGACAATAAAATGTGTGAAAAACACTATTAACATTTAACAGTAGTCATATGCAGATAATGAATGTGCTATCTTCACTCATTATCTTACAGAAGGTGCAAATGATTTTAGCAATCTTCAGCTATTTTTCCATGTTATAGTGAATAGTTCTATGTGATAAATTTGCATCTCTTTAAGTGTATTCCATAGTTTAGACTTAGAACTTACATGGTTTTCTTATTCCTGCCGAGGCATTCCTGCATTTTTTCTAAAAAAGCATCTCATACCTTTGATAAATAAAAGCACTCAGTCTTAACAGTGTCTAGCAGAACTGAAATTCTACACTCTTATTAATATAACTAATAAAAATGCTATAATACTTACTGGAAAAATGTTTTAAAGTCAGGGAGATGTAATGGGATATATTTAAATGGTGATTCAAACTTTAAAAAAGTAGATGATAGGAATATACCGTAAAATTCCTAAATATATAATGGTATATAGCTGCTGCTGCTGCTGCTGCTGCTGCTCCTCCTCCTCCTCCTCCTTCTTCTTCCTTTTCCTTCTTCCTTCTTCCTTCCTCCTTCCTCGTTCTTTCTTCTTTCTTCTTTCTTTTTTTGATACCAGGGATTGAATTCAGGGATTTTGGTACCTTGTGCTTGTGAGCAGGCTTCAGCACCACTGAGCTAAATCCCCAGCCCAGCTTTTTCATCCATTCCTTTCTCCCAGCTGCCCAATTCCTCTTCCTGGAGGAAACCATTACTCTCATTTCCTTGTGTATCTTGCAGAGGCAACCTGTGTATCTCACTTAATTCTATTATTTCATTATTTATTTCAGGTGACTCCAGAACTGATGGTAAAAGCGTGTACCTTTTACACTGGACATTTAGTAAAAACTCATTTTTGGTAAGAATATGATTTTTCTGATAAGAATATTGGGAATAAGGGAAGTATCACTCGTTGATCCTGTCAATTTATTTATTGTGTTCCTCTAACATCAAAATATTATTTTTTTGTTTTCTGCCTATAGCATATGGAGAGACACAGCAATACCTCGTGTAAGTGAAGAAGACATCCTGGCTGAAAAAATGAAAACAGCAATAACATATTATAATTCTAGCCTTCAGAAATCTTTATTTCATCAATGGTACTCTTATGTAAAAAAGCAAAAAGAAAAAATTGATGGTAAATCCTTACACAATAGCAGTTACTTTTGTATATATTTATTCAAAAAATCCACAAAGAAGCATGGTTTGTATACTCAAATGAACCTGTTTTTATGTTTAGACAATTGTTATGAAATGAAGGCAGAACCAGTAATTTAAAATTCTTAATGAAATTTATTTGAAAAGATTTTATTGTGAGAGAAATTGGCTTTTTTTTTTGTTGTTGTTGGTACCGGGGATCAAACTTGGGCCCTTGCACTTGCAAGGCAGGTGGCAGAACCACTGAGCCAAACCACCGGTCCAAAATCAGAATATTTTAAACCAAATCCTGTGTGTATTTGTGTATGTGCATATACAAATATAAATAGGGATCTACTGTTAGCTTTTTTATATATAATAAAAAGCTGATATATTCTGGGTAGGTACCAAAAATTGACTATTTTTGCACAGAGATCTACATTTGTTACAAATATTTCATTTAATGTACTTGTGAGGAAGCTTAAAGAAAAGTTATTTTCTCTTACTTGAGACTTATTGTCTATGAGAGGATAGTGTGTGCATGTGTGAGCTTAGGAGTCGGGATAGAAAACTCCTGCCTTTTGCTTAGATTATCTGCAGATCCATACTGGGGTAAAACAGAAGATCAGCTCCTTTTGACTAGCTGTTTGTATTCCCTCAGAGCAGATTCTTTTAAGGTTTAAATGTAAATGTAATGAAGAATTAGAAACTGGCTAATTGGCTAACTCACGTTTCATAGGATTGTAATAATAGGTGGTGAGAGCTACCTTCAAAATACCTATCATGGATGCACTGCAAACTCTGTAGTGAAAGCAGATTAGTTTGTAGCTTAGAATAGCCACTTGACCAAGTTCTTTTCCTCTCTACCAGAGAATATTAGTAAGCTTTCTGGTCATTGAGGCACAAATCCCAACAACCAAAACTTAAAGGCGGGGTTTAATTTGATCACAGTTTCAGTCCCTAATCAGCTCGCTCCAAGGCAGCGACATCATGGCAGAAGGGCATGGGGAACAAAGCTGCAGTTTGTGGTGCCAGAAACACAGCAGAAGAACAGAGCCAGAGCAGGAGTGAGGGACCAGACATAGACCCCAAGGCCACGCCTCTGTGAGCCACCTAGACACCTAGAAGTGTGCTCTACCAGTCTCTGGGGTGGATCTCAGAGCTGATCACATCGAAACTCCACCCTATCCACTACACAGAGTTACTCCTTCTACCTCTCCTCTTCCAATGGTTTCTTGCACTTTCTTTGTGTTTCTCTTTTTAATATTCTTCCCCTCTTTCTGACCTTCTTCCAGTTCTGCACCTTCTCTTGCTCACTTTGCCTTTGTTTCCTTTACCTCCATCTCTTTCTCATTGTTAGGGTGAGCCATGTGAAAGTGTTCATATTCTTTTCTACTTTCCTTATTCTTCTCTACTTTCCTTATTCTTCTTTCCCAGTTCTACCCACTTGTTTCTTTTCAATATTTTCCCTCCTGTGTCTTGCCCTTTTTTTTTTACCTTATCTAACCATCATACAACACAAAGGCTTATATTTGTAAAATATTTATTATATTTATGCAGCAAACATTTATATTCCTGTTTCAAATCCAAGTCAAGTAATCTCAAAGTTATATAATCTCTCAAAATATCCAAGTCACCTTCATATTATGGTATTTCTTGGGAGCTAGTCCTCTTCCCTGGTGGAAAGACTATGTTCAACATATTCATGATTATGAAAAAAGTTAAAATTTTGCTTGAGATTTAATTGCGAAAAATTTCAAATAACAATCCTAATCATGATTTTCAAAGTGGTACCATTAAAACGAAAAAAAAATTAATAAAACCAATATTGAAATATTTTATTATATATTTATGAGATGATATCACCTTAAAGGTCTAAGACGTATTAATAAGCCGATGTAATTTAGAGGATATATAAGACAACTTTCTAGCATGTTAAGTGCTAGGCAAATATGAGTTTATAATGAAAAAATAGTAATTTCCTCCAAGATGCTTTTACTTTGGAATTGTTATAACTTAAATAATAAAAACAAATCCACCATGTAAATATATAGAAGGGTATTCTGGTGGAAAGCAATTCAAGCAAAAGGCATTTAACTGAAAATGAAGAGAAAAATTTATAGTCTTATTAACTGTTTTCCCATTTATTTTTTATTAGCATGTGTTTGCAGTACATAATGATTACATTTCTCATGAACATGTAGTTTTTACATGTACATAGCATCTTTATTCTTTTTTGTCCCCTTACACCCTTCCCTGCACCCGTCAACTGTTTTTCCCTTCACATTCGCAAAAGTTCTATTTCCATTTTTTCTTCAATTCTAATTTTTTATCTTTTCCTTTCCATCCCCAATCCCTCTCTTGTTCTCTTGTTCCCCCTCCCATTTGAAAATATCTCCCTACTTCCTATTATGTATCTTTTATTTTGCTTTTTTGTTGATACTTTGGGTTTCTCATGTAAGAGGAACCATGTGATATGTAAACTTGTGTATTTGATTTATTTCACCTAATATGGTCTCAAAATACATCCATTTTCTCACAAATAACTCTATGGCAGAGTAGTATGCTATTAAACTATTAACTTTTATGCCATTATTTTTATTTGATTCAAAAACATTGAACTAAGATTGTTTTCCTTGAAAAGATTACTGAAGTAATCAAGAAGATAGATCTGGTTTTGTTAGTTCCTGTGTTTGGGAGCTAAATTTAAAACAAAAATTGCTTAGCTCTCCTGACTGAACCAAAAAACTTTAACCACAACGAATAAACAATAGTTTTAGATGAGTTAGCTGACCTGAGCAATTATGCACCAAGGGCTTGTGGTTTCTCAGTTACATCAGAACAGGCCAATTTAAGAACTATTAATTAATGAAACTAATTGAGTTCTAGGCTTCTTGACGAGCTTAGATTTTAAAGCAAAACTGCAAAGTTTAATGGGGCCATGACCCACAAAAGCAGATGCAGGGGAAAGACAAGCACTCTAATGTTCTAACCCTGCTGTTGAAAACTGGTACCGACATATTTTGCTCTATTTGCATAATAGTTAACAAATTTTAAAAATGTATTGCCAAAGTTTAAATGTTAGAAGTAGTTATATAAAATCCTGATATCCAGCTTCATTTGAAAAGCAAAGCAAAGCAAAGAAGAGCAAAATATTGGGCCTCTGCTTCTGAGCGAACACAGGATGGCTGCAGCTGAAGGGCAGCGTCCCAGCTGCTTCGGTGTCCTGTCCAGTCCATTCAACCACAGGACATTGAATTCCTGGGGGCCAGGGATGTGAACACTAATTCATGATTGAGTTTCTTATGAATAAGTTTAGAAGTTCTGGTTTTACGAAGAACAAATTTGTTTTTTGTGTGTTTGTTTGTTTTTGTTTTGTTTTTTGAGACAGGGTCTCACTATGTAGTTGAGACTGACTTGGAACTTACTATGTAGCCTAGGCTGGCCTTGAACTCACAGCAATCCCCCTGCCTCAGCCTCCTGAGTGCTGAGATTACAGGTGTGTGCCACCACACTAGGCCAGATTTGTTTTTTGCTTTTTTTAAAAGAAGTGATCCTTATTTTGATTTTTCTAGTACATTTTATTTTCTAAGGGCAAAGGTGATTTTTACTGGTCAGTAATGTCTCATGAGTACTATCATTCCAATTTTAGCATATGTGCTGCTGAAGTGAGCACTCATGAGTACTATCTAATGCTCTCACAAGTATATTAAAATGGAATAAAAACTATCAGATGTAACTTTGGTGTGTGTTATGTGCATGATAGAATATGAATTCAGCTTTAACTATATACAGTAACCTAATAAATTTTCTTTAGGTGCAGTTCTGGGGGTGCAACACATACTCCATTACAGTAAGCTAAAAATGATCCTAAAAAAATGGAAGGAACAAGCAAGAAAAAAATATAAAAAGAGAGAACATGACCTGGTATGGTACATTTCAAACTTAATTTTTAAAACGAGTCTGATTCACTTAGACATGTTGTTTCAGATAATAACACTATATATGGAGAATAATAAAATCCTATATATTGTATTTTTTTGTGGGGCTCTTGTTCTTTTAATGACTTGGTAATTTAACTTTACCTCAGTTACCCTAAATATTTTCTAAGAATTTCCATTGTTTCAGTTGGACTATGAACATGAAGGGAAAACATTAAAAAAGATTGATGTAGGCACAAAGAATTTTATTTTTTGATATTAGCAGGGTAGATATCTAAAGTGCAAGAAAAACTGATATGATTAAAGTAGAAAAATAAAGAATAAAAACTAAATGCATTCCTTCTCTAGGTTAAGTTTAAATTGCTATTCTTTTTCAACATTCAATTTAATAAATCATGATTTCAACATTAAATGATTTTTATTGCTGAACTTGGAGTCTTAACTGGGTTATCCACTAGGAATTAAAGCAGTTGAAATACAGAGCCTAAGTAATCCCCTCAAGTTTAAAACTATCATTTGCTCAGTATCAATATATTGTTACTGTATGTTGTTTTAGGATATTCAGAGTAGCTAACGGATAGGGCTGGGGATCTAGCTCAGTGGCACTGTACCTATCTCATAAGTGCAAGGTCTTGAGTTTGATCCCCATACCGCAAACAAACAAACAAACAAACAGAGTAACTACTAGCATCAAATATGGAAACATTGGGGATGTTTTGTAATTACATTATTTAGAAGGCAATATTTTATTAATATTCTTTGAAATACAAAGTCAGAGTAAACAGGAAAGAGAAAAGGTTGACATTAAATCCCTTTCTTTTGTGTTGCCCCTTGGAGGGCAGGATCAATGCATCCACCATGCACCAAATTGGTCCATTTGTTGAAACTGATGGTACCACACGCGCATGAAGAGTCTAAGCAGACTTACTACTCACAGAATGCTTACGTAGCAGCAGACTCTGCTGAGATACTGAGAAGCATAACCATAGTTCTTGCTCCTAGACCGGTACAATCTATGGCTACCGAGCTGGTGTTTTTGTAGGCTGCCCTCTGGCCCTTGCCTATCGTGAACTACCTTTCCAACTTTGCAAAACAGTTCTGTTTTGGTTACCACTGTGTGCTTCTGCTCATTCTGTGCTTTCTACCACTTTGTGTAGTAAGTTAGTGTTTAATCACTGTCCTCTGTTCCTAATCACTGATGAGATATTGAATGGTGAAATAGCCCCCTTTACATGTCCCTTAAGCTAATTAATCCTGGAGCAAGCAGTGTTCTCTTAATGTAACCTATACACTGAGCATGTTTTGTACATGTCTGTAGGTAGATGATATATATCATATAGGAATATTATTCTTAATACATATGTGTTATATGAATGTTCAGAGAAAATATTTGCTTCTAATTATACAATTTTTTGGCTGAGCAACATTCTGTATTCACTGAGGATGACAGCTGTGTGCTGGAAGCATGAGCGAGGACCTCGTGTGCTGTGTGTGCTGGTTCTCTAGTATGTGCTCTTTCTTAGACTCTGGTATGTGTATTTATTACAGTAAAATTGTGTGTGTGTGTGTGTGTGTGCGTGTGTGTGAAATACTTCTTTTTCTTTAGGGCATTGCCTTACTGTCATTGCTGAGACAAAATACCTGACACCCAGAGTTAAAGGAGGAAAGATTTACTTGGCTCAGCTGTAGAGGTTTCAGTGCATAGTCTCCTGGCTCCAAGGCAATGTGGCAAGGCAGAGGGCGTCACAAAGAACAAACAGTCCATGGCAAGCAGCCAGGCAGAGCACATTAACCTTCTCTCTATCCCTTTTATTTTATGCAGGCTACCTGCCCTATGGCAGATGTACTACTCACACCCTTGTCCAGAACTATGCCAAACCAATCAGTGGACTGATTTAGTAATCACACACCCTCCATCCCAGCACCACATACTCTTTTTTTTTTTTTTTGGGGGGGGGACAGGATCTCACTATGGAGTTGAGACTGACCTGGAACACACTACATAGCCCAGGCTGGTCTCGAACTCACAGCGATCCTCCTGCCTCAGCATTCCGAGTGCTGGGATTACAGGTGCCAGCCCCACATACTCTAAATCCAGCCACCTCTGAGAAGCACCACTATGACTGCATGAGGCTTTGGGGAGACATCTAGACATAAGCTGTAACAGACATTTTTGTAGTTCTCAGGAGTGTATCAAAATTAAAATGGGAACTTCCTGTAATGATGAATCAGGCAAGTTCACAAATCATTTCTTTCTGACTCCTCCTTTTGGTTATGTCTGTGCTAATCACTTACCCTCTATGCCCTAAGTACCAGTTCTGTTATTACCAGAAGGATTTTCCTCATGCATAAAAGAGACTAGATCAGATTTCTAAGGTGGCTAGTATTGTATGACAGCAAGTGGAAATGATCTGTAAAGCTTTGGTGGTTCAGGGAATATTCAGGATGCATATGGAAAATAATATTTTTTGTAAGGATGATAAATAATGTTTAATTGGTGCTATTATTATTTAAAGCACTGTGCTTGAAACATTGCACACATATCTTTCTTCTCATTTGACACTTAAAAGAAATTCCACAGAATTTATAAATTATTTTCATTGCAGATATTAAAACATGAACTTCAACTGAGAAAATGGAGAAGTCAGTTAAAATTGAAAACAACTGAAGAAACTTCAGAGGAAGAAGAGGAAGAAGAATCTGTTTCTCTTGAGCGAAGTTTATCTGAAGTCAGCCTTGCACCTGACACTTCCCAGTGTGATATTTCACTATTGCCTGAAAGAGCAGTGTTACAGGTTTGTATAAATCTATTAAATATTTTTAAATTTAAAAACGTTTATCAGTATATGTTTGTGATATGTAGTGAATGCATTCATTATGGGTAGTTGGAACATATACATGTTAACACATGTTAACATGTTAACACATCTTAATTTTTTTGTATCTCCTTCCCCTCCTACCTCTCCCTCCTAACTTTGCTTAGCTTCCTTACCATTTGCCAAAGAATTATCTCCCTATTTCCTATTCTCTATCTTTTATTTTGTTTTCTCTTTTGGTATCAGGTCCTTGCACTTGCAAGTCAGGGGTGGTGCAGCTGAGCTAAATCCCTGGCCCACATTTTCCTCTTTGATTTATTTATACTTTGGCTTTTTTATATAAGAGAAACCATGTAATATTTAAACCCATGTTTCTGATTTATTTTACTTAACATTGTGGTTTCATGGTATATCTGTTTTACTACAAATGACTCAAATTTTACTTTCTTGATAGCAGTGTTGTACTCCATTTTGTAGAAATTTCATGTTTTCTTTATCCATTCATCTGTTAATGGACACATAGGTCACTGCCACAATTTAGCTATTGAGAATAGTGCTTCTGTAAATATGGGTAAGCATGTATCACTGTAATATAATGTGTAACTCTTCCTTGAAGATACCTAGAAGGGAAATAGCTGCGTCAAATGAAATTTCTATTTTAAGTGTTTTGAAGAATCTCCATGCTGATTTCCATAGTGGTACTAGTTATATTACTATTGGCAATGTAGGATTCCTATTTCCCTGCAGCCTTGCCAGCATTTGTTATTTATTTTGTTATTATTTGATTTATTGATGACAGCCATTGTTTCTGGAGTAAAATGGAAATATTATTGTTGTTAAATTTGCATTTCTCTAATTACCAGTGATGTTGAATATATTTTCATGTATGTATTGCCCACTTGTACTTTTTCTGAGAAATGTCTATTCATTTCAGTTGCCCATTGATTGGGTATTTTATTCAGAGGGGTGTTTTTTAAAAATTTGTTTTGTATATTTTAGATACCCTGTTCAAAGTGTAGCTGGCAAAATTTTTTCCCATTCGGTAGGTTGTCTCTGTACTCTGTTGGTCATTTCTTTTTAGTTTGATTTGATATAAACTCATCTATTGATTCTTGGTATTATTTCTGTGGAATTGGGGTTCTGTTCAGAAAGTCTTTGCCTATGCTTGTATCATTGTTTTATCTATTTATCTCCTAGTAGAGTGTTTCTGTTCTAATGTTTACATTTTTTTTTACATTTTTAATGTAATTTATTTGAAATTATTCTGGAAAAGTTTAAGGCCATTATACAAAAACATTTGATGAATTCCTTCCCATTGGCCAGCAATTGACAAACCTCTTTTCTCAATACATTGGCCAAAGTGGCCAATGGCTCTTCAAAGAATGATTCATTCTTTTCCCATTGTCAAAGGACTTTTCTCAGTTTTTCTCTGCTTCTATCTTTAGCAGGTTCATTCACTTTCTAAATGGTAACTTGAGAAACAAGTAATTTTAAATAAATTTGTAATAGAAAAGTTTCACCATGTTTAAAATCTATAAATATGTTTTACTGGGTAAAGTTGACTATAATATTTTTTGCTTTAAAAAATAATGTAATATACCTTTTTTCTTTTATCATTAACTCTTTTTTTTTTGGTACTGGGGATTGAACTTGGGACCTTGTGCTTCTGAGACAGCAGGGGCACCACTGAACTAAATCCCTGACCGTATTAACTCTTGTTATACAGCTTCTTTGAATGCACATGATCTGTCCTCACTAAATACTGCATCAGATTTTGCACTGGATGAAACCGCAAATTTCAAACAATACTTCTTCCTTTGTAAAATTAAGCCTTCAGAATCCCCAGGGATGTTTTCCTGCTTACTGGTTGAGTAATACAGAACCTAGTTTTCACATCAGTGATTGGTTTTTCCTAGTTTTCCCTCAAATGCCATCCCAAATTCTGTTTGCAAAGCCCTCTAAATTCCGTGCCTTCCGCCACCACACCAAAAAGTTAGAAAAGCAATAGAGAAACATGGGAGAAAGAACTTGATGATCTTGTTTTTTATGGCCCAGCAGGGTTTTGGCAGCCACTTGATTATTGCAGTAGCTGTCATGAGAGCCAAGACAAGACAGCCAGCCCACAAGGATGGGACCAGCATGTTCAGTTGAGCCATCTGGCTTCTGAATATCTTGAAGTTGACTAAGGAGCTCCTTGTATAGAGGAATGAGAGTCCAGTTTTCCAAAAATTTCATTCAGCTCTTGTTCTGTCATGATGGAGAGTTTTAGCATGTGATCATGATAGGCCTTTTTTTGCTAATTTCAAGTCTTTTATCAGGTCCTTTTCTCCTTGGGAAAGCTCAAAGTTTGCCTTCTGACATTTGATTTCCTTAGCCGTAAGCATCTGATTAACATACACATCAGAGGTCTCACTCCACAGCTTGCTGTCTCTCTCCTTTGTGTTGAGGAGGTGGCATTTCTGGACCAGGATCGGGGCCCAAGGGTGTCAGGGCAGCTCTCACTTTGGAAGCAAACTGCTGCCGAGTTTGGCTGAAGTGCTCTAAAGGGGTAGTCTTCACAGGCGGGGTGAGGTTAGCTAGTGATGTGACTCTGGAAAGGGATTTGACCCGTTTATAATAGGTTCTCTTATGTCAAGACTGCAAAGGTTAACGGCGTCTTCATCTTGGGTGCTCTGCTTCCATTTCTGCCCTCTGAAATTCCAGGCTTTAGGTGAAGGAAACATGGGAAAATTGTTTTGTTGCTGCCATTTAGGCCATTCATACTCCCTGGAGACAACACATCCACACAGATGCACATGCTTACCAGAGCTCCCTCCTGCTGTGACTTTCTTACTTTGAGATCTTGTTTCCTGTCTCCTCTTGTAATCCTAGCACTCTGGATGGCTGGGGCAGGAGGATCACAAGTTGGAGCTAGGACTGGGCAACTTAGCGAGACTTTTTGCTTGTTTTCTTTCAGTGCATCCTCTACAGATGCACTGATTCATATTGTGGAGCTGTCCATAGACTCAGTGTGGCAGGCCCAGGTTTTCTTTCTCCACGCTTGGCTGGCTTGGCCTAACATTTAGATCTTGATCCATTATGATTGTAGTTTAGTACATGATGAGAGATATGGGTCTAGATTCAATCTTCTGCATGTGGCTAGCCAATTTTCCTGGCACCATTTATTAAACGGGCTATCCTTCCTCCATGTGTTTTGGCCCCTTTGTCAGAGATTAGGTAGCTAAATGTGCCTGAAGTTGTTTCTGGACCCTCTATTCTGTTTAATCGATCCACATGACTGCTTTTAACAGTACCACACATAACATCAAATGTAAACATTAAAACTTGCTTTGATAATTTCACCCCTTTGTCAGTACCTGTTATAGACCATATTGTTCTGCTATCTGTGCTTCATCTGAGATGTTGTGGGTAGGAAAAGTAGAGAGGAGGGATACAGGGAAGGGTGAACATCAATGGGAAGAGAGGAAGAGAAGAGAAGTGTTAATAGGTAAAAGCAGACAGGAAGTCAGACTCTGTTGTGGTTATTTTATAGCTGGGTTAAAGGGCCAATATTGAGGAGATTTGAGAAAATATTTGTGTAGGTAGGAAGATGTGTGCTGAAGGGTGGAAATGTATTTAGAGATTAAAGAGGCTGCGAGTTTGTTGGTGCCTGTTAATATGTTTGTAGGTAGTTGAGTTTGGATCCTGTAAACCCAATTTTGTTAAGGATTACCCCGACATGCCCTTCAATGGCACTGCTTGGTTCTTATTCTCTAATGGACCTTTACAGTTCCCTGTTATATTTATGTTGTTAGATAGAGAGGAGGTGGAGGAAGACAAGGAGGCAATATAATGAGGAGTTGAGAAGCACAAAAATAAGGTGGGCAGAGTGTCAGAAGATAGGAGGGAAGAAACACTAATAGAAGGAGCAGGTCAAAGGGGAACCCTTGAAACTTAAAGTATAGTAATCAGCTAATAACTATAAAGAACCCCCACCACCCCAAAAAAAAGCAAAAATGAAAACAGAATAGAAAGAAAAAAGAAAACCAACCAGGGTGACCCAAATCCAACGAAGGAACAAGGTGACAATAACTACAGTTACCAAAGTAACAGTAGGAATAAGAATGAAACCTTCTTGCAGTTATTTTGGCATTAACTCAGAGCTTCCACACAGCTCCCTCCACATGGGGACATCACTGCCTGGCTTTGAGTAGCCATGCACTGTCCCCCTGTGGGTGAGACAGTTGCCTGTCGGAAGCCTGCCTTGAGAACTATTGCTCCCTGCAAACCCATGTCCGGTTTCATGCTCCAGGAGTGCCCCTGCAAACCTCCGCAGAGCCAATTACCTTAATCAACTGGGAGGGGGATGTTAAATATTGTAGTCATCTCCATGTCCTCCCTCCACAGGGTTTCCCTGCCTCTCATATGACCCAAAAGCCACTGGTCTAGATGCTGTCCAGCCTCTCTGACCCTGATGTCTATTTCAGTGCTGGCCACAGAAACAGAAGGAAGGCACTCACTCCTAGCTCAGCTGAGTTGTTCTCTAACTGTGCTGCAAAGCCAGTTTTCCCCTCCTTCTGCTGTTCTCGGCCAGTGCTCCCTTTCCCATGGGAGCCTGATGATACTCATGGCAGGATGCTTAATGTTCCATGTACATCCCTTGCTGTATGTGGGAAGAATAAGCAGATGATGGTGATGATGGTGATGATGGTGATGATTGGCCACATTGGAGAAACCTCTCTCCCTAGTGTCCCACCACCTGCTGGCCTGAAGTGGAGGGTGCATGGGTGCCTGGCAATTAAATTCTATGAAACTTTTTTTTTTTTTTTTTTTTTTTTTTTTTTTTTGGTGTTACCAGGGATCGATCTCAGGATCTTGTGCTTGCGAGGCAGGTAGCAGAACCACTGAGCCAAACCCCCAGCCCCTCTGTGAGACTTCTCTTGTCAGCTTGAGTCCCCTGGTTGGAAATGTTTCACTTTGCTGCATCCAGTGGGAAGAAC